GCTGTTATGCTGCCATTATTTGGCAGATATAGGGTAGAATAATGGCAGTTTTTTTTTCTGTTATTTACCTATTATTCCCCCTTTATTTATTCGTTCGACCTGTGAACTATACAGAATATCAATGCAAGGGTAAATTTCAAAACCTTGTAAGGGATCATACTGTAAGTATTTTTACCAAAGGCACTTATTGACAGATTGAACCATAATCAGGTTATAACCTAACGATTTTCTTGATCCTCTTTAGTTGATGTACCAATATATGGCAGGAAATTGTGCAGGGCATAGAACCAGAACCGGAGTATGATACTTTGACACATTTTTAGAAGAGACCAGGTAAGGTTCTACATTAATCTCGAACATTCGTTTGCCTTTACTGTAGGTGTCTTTGAAATAGAAACAAATTATTAATTTGTTAATTATATATAAAAAAAATCTAGAAACACAGTTTGATAAAATACATAATGTAAACACATCCTCGAGAAGAAGAGAAGAAAGACGGTGAAACCACACTCCATCACCAACTTATGAAGAAGTTTCATCAATAATAAATATGAGTCGCCGTGAATCTCCCATCGGTCAAAGGAATCGATCTGCATCCCCAACCCGAAAAAATCCTACCAGAAGAGACGAAACTACTAATCGAGATAATGTAAGTAATGTAAATGATACGAATGAGAATTCAGGCCATAACACTAATGATGTAGGTAGAAATTTAGATAATGCGACATACTTATCTTTACCTAATTTGGCAAATACTACTTCAACCCCTAATATATCTGCATTACAAAATGATAGTAATATTAGTATGCCCGATATAGGAGGTAGCCAACCTTCTTGTATAGAAAATATAAATGAAGAGGATTAGCCTTATATTTGTTTTTAGGGGCCCCTAAGCCATTCGTGTAGATATTCGCCCAATATATGATTTTACGTATAAAAATAAATCATACTGTTATAGTATTAAAATATTGCATAAAAAATAAAGTTCGTAATACAAGTTACTTGAATAGTTTGTACCACATTTCTACAGAATTAATTCTTATAGTTGATTTTTAATGAATACAATATCTAGAAAGCCTTACTTTATACGATCCCACAATAAGAATAGGACTTGCCTTAGAGGAGCGCTTCTTTGAAGCTAAAAAGGCTATAAGGGTAATACGTATTATGTTCTTAATCAGTAGTTTTATCAAAATTCATATGTTACAGGAATTTGAAATTTCACAGATCATTGAGATTGTTGACTTTTTTCACTTCGTAGTACCGATCGTTGAATCTTAGGGGGTTTAATTTACCTAAAAACATCAAAAAAAGATCAGTATTTAGAACTTATAACTGAACAGAATTGCTTTGTTAAATGTGATTTGGCAGTGTTAGAGTAGCGCAATTACTAATCATATAACTTTTTTTGGCAGGTAGGTTTTTAGATCTAACGAATGAACAGTATAAAATAAGCAAGTTCCCACTCGTAAGATAAGTTAGCAATAACATTACTTTTTGCTCATATATATTTTACTTGGTTCACTTGCCTGTAATTTATTTTTAAAGTAATTTGCTATTTTTTTTAACGGAGACTATGAAAACGAATTTTTGCTACTTTGTTTTTTGTATTTAGGTATGAAAAATAAGCAGTAACAAAAAAACCACCACCTCTAAGAACAAGAAAAATAAGACCCTCAACTATTTTAAATCAAAATGACAATACAAGCTGAGAGAGTTTTTATCTTATGATGAGATCTGGGAAAAAATGTCAAAAGAAAACTTAGAGTGTGATAGGGACAATGATGATAATGATTGGTTAAATCCTGGTCAGCAGGAGGAAATGTTAGATCAAATGTAAACCCTACTAACCTAACCTGTTAAGAACATTTTTTATTATATAATAAATATATATTTTATTTGTATAATGTTCGGCAACAATGTTTTATTAAATAAAGAGGGGAGTCCCGTGGGCTTGCCATTTTTTTTTAACTGATCATGTAAATAGGCTCTACTTATTAACCTATGCTTTTACTGTTACTATTGAGATTGAATTTTGATATTTATTTATATAACAATAGAGATGATAAGTTTTTGTATTGACATAATCACCACTCCCCCATAAACCTTCTATATTAACTCTTATATTTTCTTTTTTATGGTCTTTATTGCATATAGGACAGAGTACAGATCTATTAAAATCAAAATAATTACTATATTTAAAACTATGTTTCAAAGTTAAATAAGGAAATCGTTCTAATACCATTTCAATAACATATTGTTGCCTTTCTTTGAGATCTTTAGGTAGAATAGAAATTGATGCTCGAAGTTTGGATAGTGTAGGTAGAACATTTATCTGTAGTACAAATAATGTCTTTTTTTTGGCATCCTTTTCGATTTGTGGGGACTCAAAAGTTTCAGAGTTTATCTAGGAATCGAATCCAGTTTTATTCTTATACCTTTTATATAACCTAGAACGAATTTTATCTGTCAAAATACCTGGCAATTCTGTTAATTTAGCTTCCCATTCCAAATATTCAGGAGTCAATGTTTTATTAGCTTTTGCCTGTGTATCCATGTTCCTGTTTTATGTATAAAAAAATTCTCGATCATATGCAAGTAATGTACATCGATAGTAATACAATAAAATAAATTTACGAAATATATATGCAAAGGTAAATGCAATTATGGATGTGAATTCAAGCTACCAGAGCCAACTTTATTGATATAACAAAAATATGTATTATTGTACTGTTTCTTATGATACGAATAACCAAGTTTTTTCCATATTGTTCAGTATGAAATTAAATCAGACTTTTGATCATCAGACAAGTATCCGATAACCATAAATTATCTCTATTCTAAAAATATTTGAGAGTTTATATCACTTATTTTCTAGATCTTTTTTGTCTCTAGAAGGTGAAAAGACAGCAAAGTTCAACCAAACATTGAGTCAGTGTAAACTAGCTTGATCTTGTGCTCACTAAAAAACTTTTTTTCACAAACATAACATTTTTCAAAGTTAATAGTAAATGTATGAGGTCTTACACACTATGAAGTATTTTTCTTAAAAGGTATTTTGGCATAGTCAAGACAGAAGTACCTTGATATCTCACTAGTATCTTTTACCAAAACATTTAGATATCTGACTACGAGGGTTTATCACACAAATTTATCACTTAATTTAAAATATAAACCAATATTTTGTGAGTTCCTGATTTCACAACACGGAAATAAAATTAGCCAAATTTAATAAATACCCAAAAATATTCATATATTAATTACACTAGAAAACAACCGTTTCGTGCTAAAATCAGTTAAAATGTTTCTAATTATTGTTCTTGAACTGGTGTTTATATTCTTTTGCTTTCCATATATGATGATCTAAATGCGAAAGACCAATATTATGATTTGATGTTTTTACATCTTTTTTGGTAGTTATGACACAAATGGCGCAAGTAGCTAAAAAAACCCATCGTAAGCCCGTGTCCAATTAACTTAGTAAATTTAAAATTGTAAGCTCAATTTCACATAATAAAATCCCATAACATAATGATCACTGCTTCAAATTACCTCAATAATTCTTTAAATTCGGATGAACCTAGTTCTTCAATAATGTATTCAACTTGTTCAGGAGAAATATAATAACTTGACCTTCTATCTATATAATCATTCGCAATTCTCTGAACTTGTTGCTATGAATATAATTGTAATGAAGTATTGAGCAAAATTTTGCTATAAAGTTAAAAGTAAAGACAAAAAGATGAAGTATACTGTTTACCTCTATCTTATCAATATGATAAATTGACAATACCAACATTGGAAATAATGTTCTTTCCGTTACTAACTTAGTGGCAAGTAAAGGACATGACCAATATATACGATCATAGTGTAAATTCATAAAATATGAATTTACATCATCACCTGGGTTATTAAACATATTTTTTAAAATCATATAAATATTTCAAGTAAAAAATAAAACGAAAAACAATACATACCCATGTTTAAAAAAATAATTGATTAATTTGGACCACCTTTATTTAACAGCTGATTTATTGAGCTCTTAGACCGTAAATGTACCTTAACAAAATCTTTATCTTTTTGTAATTCTGTGCAACCCAATGGCTTTACTTCGGAATTTAATATTGCAACATTATCGATTCTACAACTAAAATCTGGTCTTCTCAGTGATCCATTTACGCTTTTATCTAACCTTATTTCGTAATCTTTTGAATCTTCACAGAAAAATGGTCTCAACAAAGGATCTAAATAGTTAAATCGATGCTCATTTTCAGTGATCTTTTTTGTTTGACTGATGGTAAGTCTTCTTTTCTAGGTATCAAAATCAAATCAATTTATAGTTTTTCATTGATTATTTCATATAATATTAAAAAGATTTTGATAGCAACATACAGATTATTAAATACTCTGCTAGCTTTTTTACTAAGATCACTTTCGCCATTTGATATGAAATCATCATCTAATCCTATTGCAATGTTATTGCATGCTTCAGATAACGAAGATGCAAAAGAGTTGGCCCAAACCGATTCCTTGATAATGTAAGGATTGGCATTAACTACTTGTTTCCATTCATAAGAGGTAAACGTAGAATATGGGCATTGTTTAACCAATACTATTATTGATGTAAGTGCTCTAGAATATATATGAGAAGGTTAAATTAGTACATTTTCAATAAACAAAATTATTTTAAAATGCTTACAATATTTCATACTTGTCATTCCATGCTAATTTTACTTTACCCTCTATTACGTTATCGATTAACTGCATTTGGTATTCTTTAAACTTTTTTGACACATTAATTGTGCCTACGATCCACTAAAACAACATTACAAAATTTCTTTTATATATATGAAATTAATAGAAACCAAAAATTCAGTTTATTGCGTACCTCATTTCTTGATTGAGATTCTAGTCGTTTTTTTAATCTACCCAATTTGATAATAATTGCTTCACTCTCCCTTTCATCACTCTCGCTCACATCACTCTCGTTATCATCTGATAAGTTCGGGAGGGAATTGGAAGATCTATCCAAAGATTGAGTGGATACTTTTTTCACCTAAACCAAAAATGTTAATTAAGTTTTAAAGTAATTAAAATAGCGCAGGTATTATTTACTCTCTTTGGTTTATTCTCATAATCTGAATCCGTCTCCTCTTCTAATGAGCTTTCGGCATAGTTTACTTGGTTTCTTCTTCTCAACGTTCTTCCGATTGAAGAAGAATCTCTTTTGATGAATGTTTCTGTTCCATTTATAGTTCCATTATTAGTTCCATTGGTTATGGCAGTCCCATCCACAAACGTTGGCTGGTGTAGGTGAACTTGTTTGCTTGAACGTTCTTTCTCCCACTTTCTCGCTTTTTTTCGATCTGTTTGAGGATCCTAGCATGGAATATTTGAAAATTAGTAGCATCCTTTGCAAACACACTTCAGGATCCCTATCCATTTCGGATCCCACCAGAACATTAGACAACCGAGTGGGTCATTTGTGCCCAGTGGGTCCAATGCCAGCTCGGCGAGTAGCCTTTGAACATCAGACAACCGAGTGGGTCACCTGTGCCCCAGCATTGGTTTTGTAGCTTGGCGAGTGGCCTTGAATGACAGAGAACCGAGTGGGTACTTTCTGTCGCGCTACTATTTTTTTCACCTATATTAACAAAAAGATTTACTTGCCTCTCTGTATCTATTAAGAAGTGTCTCAGCTCTTTCCTTCCTCTTGCCTTTATCACAGCCAGCAATTGTATCAAGACATCTAAGGTATTGATCTATCTTTCGTTCGAACGGTTCCATATAACATTCGTTTAGAAAATCTATGATGTTCCATTTGTCCGAATTGCGTTTGAAGAATTCGTACATTTCGTTTCCCGACGTGATTAATGCGAGAAGCGAGTTCTGAAGCTGTTGAAAAGTGATAAAATGTCAAATATCTAGCACTAGATTTTTATGGTACATGACATTTGTACATCTCGTTGATTGGATTTTACGACCACGTGTTAATGCTAAAAAATTGTTCTATAGTGCCGGCTGAATTAACAGCTAATACGATTAAACGGTTAAACTAGTAAATTTAGGTGGTTCCCAATTCCTAATAAAAAATAAATAGATTGTTAACTGAATTTGGGTTAGGGTATGTACGTACGTACTTGTTTCAGAAAAATGGCATGTTCTGCTTATGTTCTGTATTACATTACAGACGTACATGTTACATGAAAAATTAATCAACTCTCAAAGCTTTTTGGATACCACACCCGTGATCGCATATATTTATTATTTAATTATTCAAGCTACGTACTGTAGATGAGTCAGAGACCTCTTTCTAAGAGAATTTTCACATTCACATCGCTTATATATTCCCTCTGCTACTTTTTTGCATGTCTTACAATATAGATGTGAATGGTGATCGCATTCGTCACAAACCTTACATCCGTGCTTCCAACCTCTAAAGATGTGCCACTTTTCGAAGCAATTTTGTTTATCTTTACGTATGAGTATGCTATTCTGACCTTTCATTGTTATATATT